CTTGGCCTGCACTTAAACACAATTGGCGCTGACAAAATTATCATCTGCCAGTTGCAGATGGCCACCTTACTGGGATCTGCACGCATTATTCGCCGATACATCACACAGTCCTAGACACTTGGGAAGTGTCCGATGTGTGATCCAATTCAACAGCCAGCAGAGTGTCTGCTGTGGACTCATCTTGTTGTGTTTCAATAATAATAATAATAATAATAATAATAATAATAATATAATACATCACACAGTCCTAGACACTTGGGAAGTGTCCGACGTGTGATTCAATACAACAGCCAGCAGAGTGTCTGCTGTGGACTCATCTTGTTGTGTTTCAAATAATAATAATAACAACAACAATAATCACACAGTCCTAGACACTTGGGAAGTGTCCGACGTGTGATCTAATTCAACAGCCAGCAGAGTCTCTGCTGTGGACTCCTCTTGTTGTGTTTATAATAATAATAATAATAATAATAATAATAATAATAATAATAATACTTTTTTTTCAAATTAGCTTTTTATTTAATTATATCATAAGTAGGTAAAATGTGAAACATCGAAAGAGTGAGAACAATATTGGATAGGAAAGTTTGGAAAAAGAGAGAATTAGGAAAAGAGAACAATTAAAAAAAACAGGTATATGAAAAAGAAAGAAAAGAAAAATATGATACATAAATGGTTTGACTATTCTTCGGTGGTTGTAGTCATAATTATTGGTCCCCCCCAAAGGGGCAAAATGAAAAATTAGTCTGAGCATCCCTGTAATTTCTAATCTTCTTGTGAGTGTTTGTTTAGTCATATTATTAAATCTATCTTTAATTGCTTAAGGTAGTTCTTGACCAGGTCCCAGTTTGTTTGCTTGTTTATTTATTTACAGTATTTATATTCCGCCCTTCTCACCCTGCAGGGGACTCAGGGCGGATTACACATACATGGCAAACATTCAATGCCATAGACACACAACACATAGAGACGGACAGTCAGAGGCTATTTAACATTCCAATTTTCTGGCCACTAGGGGAGCTGTGGCTTCACTGTCCATCTGCGACACCGATGAAGTACTTTCCACACACCCACATGCTTTTGCTGGAGATTTTATTAGCCTCCTCACACATAGGTGGTACCTAAATTTCCTACTTGACAGATGCAACTGTCTTTCGGGTTGCAAAGGTCGACAGCAAGCTACACAAATTGGCCGGAAGCTCACTCCAACCTGGGCTGGCTTCGAACTTATGACCTTTCGGTCAGTAGTGATCTTAATGCAGCTGCACCACAATCCCAGTTGGGAGTAATCCAGTAAGTAAGCTGGTCCATGTTCATTACCTCCAAAATTTCTTTTACCAGTCCTCTTTCTTTTTGGGAATCTCATTTTGTCTCCTGGTCATAGGGGTCCCTGGTCAAAGTGGTCCCTGGTCAAAGGGGTCCCTGGTCAAAGTAGTTCCTGGCCAAAGTGGTCCCTGGTCAAAGTGGTCCTTGATCAAGTCCTTGGTCAAAGTGGTCCTTGGTCAAAGTGGTCCCTGATCAAGTCCTTGGTCAAAGTGGTCCCTGGTCAAAGTGGTTCCTGGTCAAATCCCTAGTCCAAGTGGTCCCTGGTTCAAAAAAGGTTGGGAACCACTGATTTAAACAGATACTGAGCCGTTCTTGCCTGCTATTTTAGTGTTTTTTGATTAACTTTTCCAAGCGCCTAATCTAGAGGTGCCCAAACTGGAAGGGCTATAAATGTGTTTCAGTCAAATTCCCGTAAGTCCTGCCCATTGACCAGGCTGGCTGGGGCAGAGTGGAGACACCTTGTTGCTTGCATCCGGCAGAGTGTCCTAAAGCACCTTCCCTTTAGTGAGGAGACTCCGTTGTCTCATGAAAGCACTCTCAGCAAGACTTCCGTCCTGTTATCCCTCCTATTTCGGGAGAATCGGGTGAAACCAGGTTGGAGAAGGCAGGTGGGCCTGGTGTGTGCGCAGATCTGCACTGCATGTTTGCATGCCTGGCCATGACATGCTTCCATCTCACCTCTTACAACTAATGTTTCCTTCCTTTCTTTTTCCGTGTTTTTATTTGTCTTTCTTTCTTTCTCCTCACACTGTCTGTTGTAGCTGCCTGAAAATGCTCAACTTGTGGTGAGTCACTCTCTCTGGTTCAGATACAAGGGGGAGTGATCAGTATGATGGCTGGGCAGACTGAAATGGAAAGCAACTTGGTGGGATGCTCTGGAATGGCCTCCTTAGGAAAAAGGAACCAGAGGCAGGGTTGACTTGGCTAGTTTAGCATTGACACATTGAGACCCATTGGCTTAAGCGGCTGAGCGGGAAAAGGAAAGGGGCTGAGGCTGTTAGGAATTGTGGGAGTTCAAGTCCAAAACACCTGGAGGGCCCAAGTTTGCAATATAGAAATAATCTTCTGGATTGGAGGCCCTAACTCTGTGGTTCTGTATGATGCTAGGCTTCTTTTGCTTGACATCCAGATGATCAGTTTCCTATGACTCTTTGTATTTTTCAAGGTGGAGAGTATTAATTGGTTTATACGTCTTTAGCTTGGAAAATTAAACAATTTTTTCTCTTTAGTGGACCCTCCAGATCTATGGGCTCTAGATCCACATTTGCCACTGACTGTGGATCGCCAGACCCATATTATTAAGTGATGGTGACATGAACGAGGATACGCCTAATAATAATAATAATAATAATAATAATAATAATAATAATAATAATAATACGAAATCCAGCTTATAGATCTTGTTTGCTGCAACATACTGTGCTTTTGTGTAAATAATTATTATACATCACACAGTCCTAGATGCTTGGGAAGTGTTCGACTTGTGGTTTTGTGATACGAAATCCAGCATATAGATCTCATTTGCTGTGACATACTGTGCTTTTGTGTAAATAATAATAATAATAATAACAACAACAATAAACTTTATTTATACCCCGCCACCATCTCCCCAGAGGGGACTCGGAGCAGCTTACCATGAGGCCAACCCTGGTGATACTTTACAGCAAAATTAATACAGAATGGCAAAAAAGCATGCCATTTAATCATTTGGGATGTTATTATCTGCATTTTGCAAAATACTGTTTTGATACTGGGTACCCAAGAGGCCCTCCACACAAGTAGAAGTCATATAATCATAGAGTTGAAGGAGACCTGGTGGGCCATCCAGTCCAACCCCATGCTGCCAAGCAGGAAATCGCATTCAAAGCACTCCCAACAGATGGCCATCCAGCTTCTAATTAAAAGCCTTCAAAGAAGGAACCTCTACCACACTCTGGAGCAGAGAGTTCTACTGCTGAACAGCTGTCATAGTCAGGAAGTTCTTCTTAATGTTCAGGTGGAACCTTCTTTCCTGTTTCACCTTAAAGTCATTGCTCCACATCCTCGTCTCCAGAGCAGCAGAAAACAAATCTGCTTTCTCCTCCCTATGACTTCCCCTCACATCTTGGCCCTCATGTCTCTTCTCAGCCTTCTCGTCTGCAGGATAAACATGCCCAGCTCTTTAAACCGCTCCTCTTAATCTCCAGACTTTTCATCGTTTTAGTTGCCCTCCTCTGGACGCCTAGCATGTCAGCATCTCCCTTAAATTGTCAACGTTTCCCTTAAAGATCATTTTGGAACATTTTATTATTTTTGAAAACAGAAAAAAATTCAAAAATTATTGTTGACCCATGAGTGGTCGCTTGGGGCAACAAAACGGCCCAGGGGCTGCAAGCTGCCCATGATCTGTGCCTTGCTAACCCCAAGAGATCAGAGTTCACACATATGGTTGAAGGCTCCTCCAGGTTGGAGAGAAACCTACTATTCCCTCTTCCTTAATGCCATTGTCGTTACCCTCTGCATTTGTGCCATCTCTTTAACTTGTGTGATCTGCAGTCCTTCTCTTAAAAGTCTCTAGGCCAGTGGTTCTCAACCTGTGGATCCCCAGATGTTTTGGCCTTCAACTTCCAGAAATCCTAACAGCTGGTAAACTGGCTGGGATTTCTGGGAGCTGTAGGTCAAAACACTTGGGGACCCACAGGTTGAGAACCACTGCTCTATTGAACCATTGTTTTGCCGTTATCCTGTATTATTTCTATGAGCCTTAACAGGACCAGCAAAAGCACACAAGCCCTTGTCTGTGTTGCAAAATCAAGAGACAGCACTTAATAGACACGGAAGCAGGCAGATTATCTTTCTAGCTAGATCAGTGGTCCCCAGGTGTTTGGCCTACAACTCCCAGAAATCCCAGCCAGTTAGCTGTTAGGATTTCTGGTAGCTGAAGGTCAAAACATCTGGGGACCCACAGGTTGAGAATCACTGAGTAAGGTCCATGGTAGCAGCTCTCTTTAGGTGACTTTGAAATAGGCTAATTATGAGAGATACCAAAAAGTGGACTGCTCAAATGCAGTGTAGTGTATTATGCGATTGGTACTCGGAGCCAATAAAAGTCAAGGTTGAGAACACTTTTGAAACTGAAAACATACTTGGCTCTTTAGTTTGTTTTGTTTTTAGGGGGTGCCACAAAATAATGGTCTCACTGGGCTTCCAAGTATTGGATAGTCGGTTGCAGCATCTGATGAAGCTCTGAGTGGTCTCATATTTATTATTTTTATTTATTTATTTATTTATTTATTTGCACCATTTCTACCCCGCCCCTCTCACCCCCGAGGGGGGACTCAGGGTGGCTAACACAGGCAACAATTCAATGCCAACAGTATCAATAACAAAAATATAAACCAACAATATAAAATCCTATTACATAACTATTGAGCAGTGATATTAATTAAAATTACATAATTACATAGAACAAATCACATAATCACAAGTCATATAGCAGTTTTCAATTTTCATAACAATCCTATTGTCCGAATTCAGTGCCTAAAGTGCTGATGTGCCCACTAGCCAAAGGCCTGGGTCCAAAACCACGTCTTTAGTTTTTTCCTAAAAGTAAGGAGGCAGGATGCCGATCTAATCTCGCTGAGGAGCGAATTCCACAAGCGGGGGGTCACCACTGAGAAGGCCCAGTCCCTCGTCCCCACCAGATGCATTTGAGACACCGGTGGTACCGAGAGCAGGGCCTCCCCAGTAGATTTTAAATTACGAGGTGGAACGTAAAGAGAGATACGTTCGGATAAGTAAGTTGGGCCAGAGCCGTATACACCTTGAAATGGCTTCTGAGATTGATATCTAAGTGATCTGCATGCCCTGCTTTGTGCTTCAGATCATGATCTTAATCCTGAGCAAAGACAAACAACATTCAGTTCTCTAATTCTTCATATTTAATGTTACCTATTGCGTTGTTTTTTCTGCTTTGCAAAATACACGTCTTCCTGTTCCTTGACCCCCCCCCCGCCGTTAAGCTTGTTGTCTTTACTAATAATTTAATATAGTTTATTGTATATACATATAATATTTATAATATTATAATGTAATACAATATAATAATAGTAGTAATAATAATACATTATAGTTATAATTATATATTTACATTACATGTAATATTACTAATAATATTACAATATAATGGTATAGTGCAATATAGTAATATATAATGCTGATATTGTACTATACTAATAATATAATATATTGTATGAAAATATATCTTGTAAGCCGCTCTGAGTCCCCTTCGGGATGAGAAGGGCAGTATAATATTGCCGTAAATAAATAAATAAATTGATAAATGAGTATAGAAGGTAAACTCAATCACATTTCAGAATTTGGGCCTGCGTTCAATTCCTACCCATTTTGGAATATGTTTTTGGTATCATTTCCCACCCAAAGTGGGTGTAAATGATGTATTTGCTCTGCTGCCTTTACATACGTAGAAGGTGCACCTGAGTCGAAACCGGCCATGGGGAATCCTGTGGGAATAGATGGAGAGTCATGAAGGATGTTAGTTAGCAAGTCACAGGGAATTGTCCAACCACTGCAATAAGATAGTGAAGGTGGTGTGACAGGTTAGCCTATTTAACACTTGCACCTAATAATCTTATACATCAGAATATATAGTTTCTGATTGTCATTTGTTATTATTCTCTGTCTCTCAAGGCACTTTCAAGACCCTTTGGACAGAAACTTCTTCCTTGCTCCTGAAATATGTGCTATCCTGAAGGTTCTTGAACGTCCTTCAGAAAACACAAAGGGAGATGTTTCTCCAAATACGGCTATGAGAATTGACTATAACAACACTCTGTAACAGTGCTTCTCAACCTTGGGTCCCCAGATGATTTTGGCCTACAACTCCCAGAAATCCTAGCCAGTTTACCAGCTGTTAGGATTTCTGGGAATTGTAGGCCAAAAACATCTGGGGACCCCAGGTTGAGAACCACTGCACTATAATAATAATAATAATAAAACTTTATTTATATGCCGCTCCATCTCCCCGAGGGGACTCAGAGCGGTTCCCAGGTAATATCACAAAACATACAGAGTAAAAACAACATAACCATAAGATTAACAAACAAAATATAAACATAAAAATTGTTGCCATAACACACATATATTAAAAGTAATCCTGCCTGTTCAGGTCAATTAGAAATTTAAAAGGCCGGACCAAGGTTTGTGCAAGCCCAAAAATTCTAGGGAGCCCGGGAATTAAGTGCAATGCTATGGCAGGCAACAATAATATTAGGTCTGTGGCTGTTCATTCCGGGGCCGATTAGAGGGAAGAACCTGGGTAACTGGTAGGAAGAACAAGGCCGTATTAGACAATGTGTAGGTCTGAGTTAGAACTGGTCATTTCAAAGGCTTGTTGAAACCACCAGGTCTTCAAGCTCTTACGAAAGGAGGGGAAGGATGGGGCCTGTCTTATTTCCTTTGGAGGGCGTTCCAGAGACGGGGGGCCACCACTGAGAAGGCCCTCTCTCTCGTCCCCACCAACCGCGCTTGAGACGGTAGTGGTCAAGGGCCAACCGAGAGGAGGACCTCCCCAGAAGATCTTAGAGCTCTATGAAATCACCCAATCCTCAAACAGTTCCCTGGTTCATGTAGCTTAACCTGACAAGTAGTGGCTTGTCAGAGTTTCAGATAGGAATTTTTTCCCGATCAGAAGGCAGATCATGCATTCCAAGCTTGCATGATATGCAGTTGTCCTGTATTCATTCTATGAACCTTAACAGGATCAGGATATGCACACAAGCCCTTG